TTTGACAATCGGTTTCAATATTTGTTATGATTTTCACACCTCTTGTGATGCGTTTGACAACAAATACGCAAAACAATTGTTTAGACATTACTTTTTCACATCAATTATGACCACAAATACAGTCAATACTTTTCAATGCATTTTAAGCGTTGGCTTTCGCTTTACCACAACTTTTTGACCCCTTTTTACACTTTATAATAAAGTCTTTATTTCTGCAGTTTTTTGTTTCATTATTTGCTGACAATTACCCCTATTTTTCATTGATTTTGATTATAGTTATCTTTTTACCGATTAATTGATATTTTAATTGTAATAATGTTTGTTTCAAAACAACGCTATGTTTGCTATGAAGTTGTGGTTATTATAAAAAGTTTTGTTCAGATCTTTAACGGGTTTTAAATTTTGGGAATTAATTTTTGACTTTTATTAACAAAAGGTAATTATCGATGTAATGGTCATTAAAATGAGTTTATAAACGACTAAAATTACTCAGAAAATGACGATAACTTTATCCACAATAAGTTTTTATAACAATAGTATTGAAAAGTGTAACAAAAGGAAAAACACTGACACATAAAATGACAATTGAATCGTAACTGAAAGACAATAACATTAAATAATCTATCGTTTAATCTATAAAATAATCGACAAAAAAGTAATTAAAAAACTTTTCAAATGACAAAACAGTGGCAATAATTGCAAGAAAAGCACTCAAAAGTCCAGTGAAGCGGCGATTGGGAGACAATCCCTGACAAGAAGTTGACGTCAGAGGCGTCGGTCGAGTGGCGCACAGAACTCGAGCCTCACATCACAGGCACTGACAGAGCATTCAGTGCTCACATTCTCGAGTGTTTTCATGCATTTTATCCATTCATAGCTTGAGAGTTGTGTTGTGTTTGCAATGGAAAGCACTGTTCAAATGCACAATTGCAGGCGAATTGCATCGACTGAACAGCTGTGAAGCAAATCAATAGTGAGAGAGAAAGAGAGGGAGAGAGTCGACTGCATAGAGAGAGTGTGCGGGGGAGAGAGGGAGAGAGCGTTGCAGTGAATGTTGTGTTGTTTACTATTGAATGCATTGACGGACAGACAGACATCAGGAGAAAGTGTTGTTGTATTGGGAAAACACTTTCTCCACAATTATTATGATTATTGTTATGAATATACATGTATTGTATGAATCGTATGAATAGTAGACTTTATGATTGTTGTTGTGTTTTTGAGTGTTATTTAAATACCTGTATATGTAGTGAACGCATAGAAAGGTGTGTGAGATGTGTGCAAATCAATTGATTACAAACCCTATACTGCTATCGATATAATGGTATTAATAATAATGATTGCATTAAAACATGCATTGATTTGAGTGTCGCTCACACTTAACGCACAATTAATATTTGCTTTCAATGTATTTGTATTTTTTCTCAGCAATTATTCAACATTTATTTGCCATTAAAATGCATTACAAATAATAATTAATAATAATATTCACGTATTAATTGAATATTAATTATTACTGTTATTTAAACCTCAAAAGTATTATATTTATATTCATTGCATAAGAAAGTGAATAATATATTAAAATGCATTACAAATAATAATTAATAATAATATTCACGTATTAATTGAATATTAATTATTACTGTTATTTAAACCTCAAAAGTATTATATTTATATATTTATTGCATAAGAAAGTGAATAATATTATTGTTAATAAATGTTATGTTTAATGAAAATAATGCGATAATTAATGATATATTTTGTAAAATCAATTGTTATCATAAAATACATGTATTTGTGTTGTGAGAGAAATGCGTTAAATAAACAATATATCAATTGTTTTATCATTGGTTTCAATGATTGATTCATTAAAAGCAAATGAATTTCAATGAATATTAAAGTATTACTAATAATATTATTATTACGATATATATTGTGAGACAAAAGTAATATATTTTAATAAATTAGCGGTGAATTGAAGTGAATTGAAGTCAAGGTAAGTTTGGTATTTAAATATTTGCTTTTTACTAGTATTCACTGAATTGAGCAAAAAATATAAATAAAAGTCCATTTCCATTGATTGGTATTCCTATTGATTTTTAATGATATTTATATATGAAATATGTGTTTAAAACAGAAAATGAATGTTTGAATTGAATTATAAATTGTGTATTGAATTGAATATACAGTGAAAAATAGTAGCGAAAAGCGAGAGATGGATAGCCTTGACATCCAAACGAGAAATGCATTGAAAAAGCATTGAAATACACGTTCAGTGGTTTGGCTGACAAGAGTTAGTGAAGGCATACAAGTCTTGGGAAAAGTGAGAGAGAAAGAGAAAAGTGAAAGTTTGTGCACAATATTTGGTTCATATGTATTATTAAGCCATAAAAACAAGTCTTTGAATATTATAAATATATATAAGTTTAGCGATTGTTTGACACACTTTAATAACTTTCATAATCTCTTGAATGCCTTTTAATGAATGGTTCGTTAGTTTTCAGAGAGTTATTGAAGTTTTTGTTTTGTTGTTTGCTTTTGGATATGTCTTGAGCTCTGTTTGTGATGTGATATTTTAATGTCTATTTTAATGACTATTTTTTGTCGTTTCATTGAATTTATTATTTATTGATGATATTTAAGACATGGGATCCGTTCGGAGATTTTCGTGGCCTTTGGATCCCACTTCGGATGAGACTAATTGTGATTATAATAGCAACGACTTGACGACTGGCAGATACATAGACATCGATAACATTAATCTAGTGGTCAGACTTCAGACATATGTGGACGACATCATCGGTTCGGCTGATCGGCAGACAGTGTGTGGCAAACACTGTAACCAAAACTGTCGACTCCATTGGCGGCGAAACACTTGTCGCACATCACAGCCGACGCCACTGCAGACGCCGCCGACTCAGCGCTCAGCCAATGGTCTCATCGCTAGATATCATCCAAATGTAAATAACGAGGTCGTGATCGACATCAACGACAACACCAATGCAAACACTGTGACTGACATCAAAGTTCCGATCGTCAAGAGCTTAATCTCGCGTTTCAAGTCGTCCTCGACGTCCACCACATCGGACTCGAGTACCACCTGTTCCTCGTGTAGGGCTCGACAGTCGATATCATCGAACAGTTCCGCGTCGAGCAGTTGCGGTCGCAGCGCAACAGAAGCGGGACATGTGATCGCCAACCAAAACATACTGACCAATAGTTTGTCGGACACCAGCAGTGATAGTGAAATCGTGTCGGATATCTCGGACTTCAGCGATGACCACAACTCCTCACACACTTCTGATCTCATGTTTAATGAGTTAATTCTCGGAGAGTTGTCTGAAATGAGACAAATACTCGAAGAGATACTCAGCAATAGAGACCAATTGGGCTCCGATTTTAATCAGTCAAACACTGAAGAATTGTTCAAATTGTTTGGATTTTCACTATCAGGTAATTGTTCTTCACATTCATGTGATTGTAGTTTATAATAGGATTTGCCATTTCATACATACCATACATATCGTGAATACGGTTCCGGTATTATTCAAAGTATTGATATTTCGAGTAAATAAATACGAAAAACAAATATTAATTCAATTGTAAGATAAGCTATTGTTTTGACATAATTGTTAATACGAGACATATTTTTGTTAGTTATTTGTTTATTTGTACTGTACATGAAATGGTATTTGTATATCTATTTCAGTCTTATTTGTAACAGAATTTGAGTTTTAAATATTGTTTGAGTTTTATTTTTATATTATTTTCAGTGTTGCGCTCAATAATTGGTAATTTTTGCATGTTTTCAATAGTTATTTATTAATCAATTAGTGACTTATATTTTGTGTAACAATTTTAACATTTAATTCAGATAAGAGTTTCTTAGGAAATGTATTGCAAAGCAATACAGAATTAATCGTCGATTGTATTATCAAATAATAATATTTGTTTGTTTTCATTATCGCTAATAATAGTTATATAAAATGTATTGATTTGAGGCAAAGACTAAAGTCCTAATTGAATTGAAAGCATATTTTGGGCCACATATTAATTTTTGATTAAAACCATCGTTCACTCAATCATTAGCTGGCATTTGACGGCACTATAACATACTTATGGACCAAATATCTAATGGTATCCTTTGTTTCCCATATTATTATCGTTTAGAGTTTGTGTCCATTATATTATTGGTATTAACTATTTATGTGCAAAACTCACGCAAAATATCACAAGAAATATGCAATTCATTATCTCTGAGAGCATTACAGAATTGAAAATGCATTGTTTTCTATGCCATTATATTTATAGCAAATTTTGATTTCAATATTGATCTCTCAATGAATGCATTATTTTCATATTTAAATACATTTGTCTCTAGAATTGTTATTCTTCTAATCCATGATTATTATGAATGAATGAATTATTGTCGATATAATTGTCATTTCAATACCTATTAAATAATTGAATTAATTTGTAAATGTATTTCAATTACGGTTTTTGCGATCGATTCTAAACCTATTATTATATTATATTTACTTTTAGCTCGACTTTAGTTTTTTGCTGAAAAAAGGAAATTATATCAAAGCAAATACAATTTGCCATATATTGACATAATATTATTATGTATTTAATAGCATTTATTTACCATTATTATACATTATAGCATAGGTTTATATACAGTATTCTTTTAATTTAAATCAAAGTATCTTTTATTTGCTTTAAGTCTGAAATGGGAGACCTTTTTTGAGATGTCATGACTCATGAGATGAGACTTTTTGAGATGAAACTTAAAAACAATTATTAACGCATATTTGAAATATTCTGTAATATTGATGCAAAACAGTACTGAGAAGTGTTTAACAATTTTGTTTATACAATACATTTAAGTAGTTTTAAGTGAATGCTTATTATTAAAGCATTGATTTGAAGTTAAATAACTTTTTGTTCCGAAAGCGGAG